AGAATCCTTAGAGATAACACAAATGTGGATGGGGTTGCGGGGAGAGAACCAAATCACTTTCTATTTCTTCTGAAAATGACTGAACAGGCCAGGGTCTACCGCAGAATCATGTGAAATAATGAAGACAGTCATGACTGTCAGGTAAGAAGAGACCCAAGGGATCTGACATCACTTCTTATTTGTGGGGCGCTTAATCTCTCTGGTCTCCGATTCTCTTACTTTTCTATTTACAACCATTACGCACGAGGGAAACTTCTGGGTCTGGCCTCTGGGATGTTTTGTAGGAAGGCAACTTGCCTGTCTCAGATTCTTTCTCAATATCCTGGTACCGCTGAACAAAATCTTCCACCTGCTCCTTGGAAAAAACATCAGGCTCCACAAAGCTGAGGAGGGAGTAGAGCTCTTGGAGGCTGTTCTGGATGGGAGTGCCAGTCAACAGGAGATTGAACACTACTGAGAACTCAAATAAACAAACAAACCAAGTAAAAACTCCCTAGCACTGGAAAGCAAGACACACAGATACCTACCCACAACCGTGACCCATGGAAAAAGGCAATGGGTTAGCAGAGTCACAGAGGCATGACATCACACTGTACACCAGCTGTTTGATGCAGGAAATGCTACGGCTTTAGTTTCAATATAAGAAAAACTCACCGCCGTCAAGTCAATACTGACTCCAAGCGACCCTATAAGACAGCACAGAACTGTCCCTATGAGTTCCTGAGACTGTAACTATTTATGGGAAGGGTCTTTCTCCCTCAGAGGCACTGGTGGTTTCCAAATTTGGACCTTGCAGTTTTCAGCCCAATGCGTAACCACTATGCCACCAGGGTGTCTTTCAAGATTAGAAGGGGATTAAAATTCTGTGAAGAAGATTCAATTATCAGGACTATAGTAATGGAGCAAGACCAAATCGCTCTGTCACACCACATGAGTATTCAACGCTGCTATCATCATTCGGTCTATGTGGTGATTCAAGTGATGTGAACTATCTGCAGAGGCATCAAGGGTGCAATGCACTCGTCCAGTTTGAAGCCCTACGCTACAGCACTAGGACCACACGGTCCAAACAAGAAGATTCATATCTTTTCGTAAAATGTCACAGCACCTCGGATGCAAGACACCCAAAGAATTCTGGCTATTTCTGGACATAGGGGCATACACAGCTCAAAATGGAAAATTTTTTTTTAATTTGAACAATAGATATTGAATACCAATGATAAGGGATTAGTAAATGGCCAAGAAAAACAAAAGCAAAAACAGATAATGGGTTACATAAACAATTACATCTGAATTGATATCAGTAAGAACTTTCACCCCTTGGACTTTAACACAACAAAATGGGAAAGCCATATCTTATGTGTATATATTAAGTATCAAAATATAAAATATTTTAAATAGGCTCATACAAAGAGGCTTCAAAAAGTCCATGGAAAGTTCTAGCATCTTTCCCTTATCCATGAACTTTGTGAAGTCCTCTCGTCCACAGCCTTATGTGCACACATACTGTTAGTCGCCGTCCAGTTGACTGACTCACGGAGACCCCACATGTACCTTACTGTACAGAGCACAACACAGGTGTGCAGAGTGGTGCTGCACCACAGGGGTCTCAAGACCATGACCTTGCGTTAACAGACCACCAGGCCCATCTTCCAAGGCACCTCTGGGTGGGTCTAAACCAAAGCTTCTTCAACTGTTGGGTTTCCACCCCACATGGGGGTCACATAAGTGAATGGGAGAAGAGGTCACAAAAATTCTGGCAACAGTAAAAAGTTTCTCATCTTGCAACCCTAAAAAAATGATACAATGAACACAAAGCATTTCTGGCAGTGCTTGCCAGAAATGTTGCAAATTTCTGGGGCAAAAAGAGGTCATGAGTGAAAAGTTTAAGAAGCCCTGGTTGCAAGCACCCACTCTCAGCTGGTAGTTGAGCTTGACCATTTGTGCATTTAGGAATTCCTACACACACGAACATAGTGCAGATCCTTAATAATGTATACTTAGAACTTCTAATTTAAGATCTACGATATATGCTTGTGTATACATGCACCACAAAGGATATGACAGATTATATACTAACAATGCTAATATATTTTATTGGGTAGAGCTGTATTCATTTGATTATGAGATTTTGGTAAGCTTTCAACTAGTTTCAGAGAAATCTGACTGGGTAAAAGTTTCAATTCATTTTGGAAAATCTAGACTTGTGAGTTTACCTCTGACAGTGTCTTATGCAGCAGGGAGCTTTGGTTTTTCAACCTGTGGGCTTCATCCACAACAAGGACACTCCAGGGGAAGCTGTGAGAGGAAAGTCAAGCTTTCAACTGTATGTAACGCAAACACACACATGCATACACAACCTAATACCTTGCCACAAAACTCTGTTGCTGGACAAACTAAAGTTAAAAGTACACCCAAATCACCTCTCTAAGGGGTCTCAGCATGGACATAAGACAATACTATCTGCCTAGTGTGGTAAAATTAAGGCATTTAAAAAAAATTCCAAAATAGCTATGACCTAAACATTAAAGGCAGACAAACTCACTCACTGCCATCAAGTCGATGGCAGCTCATAGTGATGCTGTAGGACAGGGTAGCACTACCCCAGTGGGTTCCTGAGAAGGTATTCTTTATGGGAGCAGATGGTCCTGTCTCTCCTGAGGAGTGACTGGTGCTTTCGAACTCCTAATCTTGCAGCTAGCAGCCCAATGTGCAACCAATACACCACCAGGGTTCCTTCTCCACAGGATGGGTGCAGAAAGGAGTGCCTGGTACTGTTCACCCACTGAATAGCACCTGGAAAGGCAAACGGGTTCAAAGAGACGGCAGGAGTTTGGAACACTCCCAGTTGGGCAGCATGCTCAGAGAAGGCACGAAAGCTGACAAAGGGCAAAAGCAATGGTTATGAGAAGTTGTGAGTAGGTATGCAAGTGGTCAAAATGTAGCTTTCAAAACCTGTAAGTTCTTATTCCTTTGTAAAGGGCTAGGTGTAGATATGTTCATCTATTTTGCACATCACAATCAATGCTGGCGTGGTCTGTCAAACAGGCTAGAGGGAGGGGGATGAGGCCCAGTGAAAAGGAAAAGGAAGTGGGTTGGACCACTTATCCCAAGTTGCCTGGCACTAAAGGAGGCTCCCTGGAGAGGAAGAAGGGGAGAGAATTCTAGCACTTATTGGAGAGCCAGAAAAAGGGCCTTCTAACCCTCTTGATTTACAAGTCTATTCACTAGCAAAACATAATTTTCATATTGTTAATGTGCAAGTCTTAATGCTCCCTAAGAAACCTCTTTAGGCCTCTTTGGGGCAGAGATGAGATCACACTTCCCTGCTGTTCAGAGGATGCCATATAGAAGTACACACCATGGCCTTATCAGATAAACGGAAAGAATACATCTGTGTTTGGAGCCTCATATTAAGAATCAGCACTAAAAATGCCCCTCTGTTATTCAGGTTCTTAAATCACCTGGAATGTACTCAGGGCAGAGTCTCTGAAATAGAAATACTCACACAGCTCCACTGAATAATGTGAAAGTACCAGGCCAACTAAATACGTGGAGAGGCTCGCTTCTAAGAGAACAGCGAGCTTCTGTCTATGATGACGGGCAATCTGGTGATGATTAGGGTGGGTGAGGGTTACCTGGCATGGGCAGAGCCATTCACACCATGAAACTGTACACCTGGAAAATGCTGAACTGGCAAACGCTGCTTTGGCTGTAGTTTTACAGCAATGAATAATAAAGAGAGAAGCTCCGTAGCCATGAGTGCTGGGTCTGAATGTCTATTTGCCGTTTATGAGCAGCGCTGCCTGTGTGGGTTACATACGCTTATTTTCCCCATCTGTAAAACGGGTAAGAACAACTCCCTACTGGGGTTCCCATCGTGATTAAAGTTCCCAATGACACTCAAGTCTCAGTTTTCTGGACTTTTGAAATCCCCCACACGTTACTTTGTGCAGGGGTATTTGTACACTTCTTAGCCCTCCGTGTCCCTCTATGTCCTTTTAGGGAAGCTCTGTTATTCCCTTTCCTGGTATTGCACTGGCCCCCAGTATGAGAAATTTCCAACGGTTATTAAGTTGAACATTACTAATACAAAGAAAAAGAGAATACTGGCACATACTCTTAAGAAAAGTAAGATAACAGACTCACTTAACAGAGCCTATCAAATACTGGACGAGTCCAGCTTTAAATGCCGGATAAACCAGATAAACCCAAAACCCAAACTCGCTGCCATCCAGTTGATTCCGTCCCGCAGTGACCCTGTAGGACAGGGCCGGCTTTCTGTGCCTGTTTGAGTTTCTGAAAAGCCCTGTTTTTCCTCCATGACGCAGCTGGAGGGTTCAGACTTCTGACCTTGAAGTTAGGAACTCACTGCAGAACCACAAAGCTGAGCCTTTAGTATTTCAAGAGAAGGTGCTCACAGTTATTTACTCACTGGAGACTGGATGAGAAAGAGCATTAAAATACTGAAAAATATTTTGCAAATACTTCTGAATATTAAGATGCAGAATACTGAGATGAAAAATCCCCACCTAATCAGGCCATAACCACACATTTTATGGAGAATGAAGTCTGGTCAGTATATCTTCTTTTCTGATTTTCCTGGTCTAGTTTATGCTACAGCTGCTATGTTGACATGGACATAAACAGCACTCAGGATGTAAATTCAGGTAGCACGAGGAGTGAAATCCACGTCTCCTACACTTCATAAGCTGGTATGAGGCCTGAAATCTAACTAACTAGAAGCACATGTAAAAGAATTTAGTATCTACTACCTTCCCAAACCATTATGTGTACTTTACCCGCATTTAATCCTCACAAGAGCATCCGCCAAAAGAAATTAAGTCTTCATGCTTTATAAAAGCAGCAGCTGAAGTTCACAGAGGTTAAGTAGCTGACCCAAGGACATTCGTTAATGAGCAGACAACTAGAATATGAGACTGTTGCCATGCTACCTGCTGGTAAATCAGATTCACGGAAGACACACATCCCCGGAAAGAAATGCAGGACAAAAATGTGAAAGACATGACTTTCATCACCCACTCAAAACCATTTATAAACTATTGCAACCTACTCACGATTTTAGAAATGATGCATCTTTCAAGCAAACCTGAAAAATTAAGGAAGGCACATTATAAAGGTTGGTATTAATATACTTCTGATATTGATAAACTAGTGCCAATGCTCTAATATTGATTCTCGTTAACTCTCCTAAATGACACTAAGTTTACAAAAAGGTTGAGCATAATTTCTAAATACCACTATTTTATAAGCCATTCAAAGGGAAGATCTTGCTCATGGTGACCCAGACAGCTTGCTGTGAGAGATTTAAAAAGACACCAGAACTACATAATTGACCTCCATGTCCCTGCCTGTCTCATTACTCCTGTTCCGAGACCAAGATACAACTCAAGTGCCACTCCCCAGGGAAGCCTTCCTCCCAAATCCAACAGGAAAGAGAATTTGGAGCACAAGGGTCCATGTTTGGGTGTTAGCACCTTTTTGAGCAGCTGATGAAAGACTTTCTTACCAAGAAAAATATATCTACTCAAAATTAAATATACAAGCAGTCCCCGGGGTATAAACATCCCTTAAGCGTATCTTTAATTCCCAGTCTTTAAGTCTAATCTGCCCGTAAGCCGAAACAGATGAATATGGTTCTTATTTAACCTTACTTTAGGACAAGGAAGGCTCAAGTCCTTTGCAATGATTTAAAAGCTGCATGTGCAGCAAGTGAAGGTGATTATAATAAAGAATTTGCTGCAAGTTAGGGCGGCTTCAATCATTTCAAAGTGAGGGCAAACGGATAACAATAAAGAGCAAATGTGAGTTTTCTGGAAGTCTGACATGGGTGATCCAAGGGATGTCTATAATGTAAGTGGGTTCTACAACTTCTCAGGCCCCAGAAGAAGAGTCCTTGCTAGAGAGACATAAATGTGTACCTCATAGGTAGTTAGCAGGACATGGAAACGGGACTCTTGTTTTAAGTCTGGCTGTAGGTGGGCTCTCTCTTCCTTGTCTCCTGTGTACACTGCACAGGAGAGACCTGGAGCAAATCTGAATCCAAGAAGAGAGAGATGAACGCATGCTCCACAACCAGAAACGAGCCTGGGCTTCTAGAACCCTTCCCAGGCATTACATAGTTATGACCCACTGTTGTTAGTTGCCAGTCGGTTTCAGCTCACGATGAGCTTATACAGCCGGTCCTGTGCCCTCTTCCTGGGCACTATGCTTGAGTCCACGGTTGTGGCTACTGAGTGTGTCAAACGACTCACTGAGGACTCCCCTCCCTCTCACTGTCCTCTACCAGCCATGTGGTCCCTTTCTAGCGATAGGTCCTTCATGACGACGTGTCCAAAGTAAAAGCCAGCTGAAGTCTCACCACCCACGCTTTCAAAGAGCATTCTGGTTGTATTTCTTCTAAGACAGATTTGTTTCTTTTTCTGGGAGTCGACTATATACTCGATATTACTCACTGAAACCACAGTTCAAATGTATCATGCTCTATTTTGTCTTACTTTTCCATTGTCCAGCTTTCAGTTACACGGTTTGGGTCAGGAGCAACTTAAGTCATCAAATCCAGTTGCCATCGTCGAGGTGATTCAGATTCAAAGTTAAGTAGGGTTTTTCCATGGCTTTCAGAAGCAAATCACCAAGCGTTTCTTCCAAGGTGCCACTAGGTGGCTCTAAAGCACTAACTTTTGGTTAGTAGTCGAGTCCCTTAACTGTGTGTGTGCCACCCAAGGATTCCATTAGTCAACATTCCAAAACAAACTTAAACCCATTGCCATCATGTCAATTAAAACTCCTAGTGACCCTGTAGGGCAGAGTAGAACTACCCCACAAGGTTTCTAAGACTATAATCTTTATGGAAGCAGACTACCTCATCTTTCTCCCACAGAGTAGCAGGTAGGTTTGAAAGACCAACCTTTCAGTTATCAGTGCAGCACTTAAACCACCACAACACCAGGACTCCTTTAGCCATCATAACACAAGAAACTCATTGCCATTAAGTCAATTCCAATCCAGAGGGACCCTACAGGAAAGAGTAAACCTGCCCCTGTGGGTTTCCAGAGGGACCCTACAGGAAAGAGTAAACCTGCCCCTGTGGGTTTCCGAAGCTATAAATCTTTGAGAGCAGAAAGCCTCACCTTTCCCCTGCAGTGCAGCTGATAGGTCAAACTACCTGGCCTTGCAGTTAGCCACCCAAGGTGCAAGCTACTACCCACCCTACCATGGGTCCCTTTGTCATCATAGCATCTTCTAAATGACATGAGTAATATAATGAGTGTTACCTGAATTAATAGTACAACCTAAGGCTTAGTCCCTGTGTGAATAGCATATGAACATTTTAAAAGGTCTTGTGCTTGCTGTTAGAAAATTAATTTTCCCATGTTGACTACTCCCTGTACTAATTTGAAAACGACAGCACAATTTACTAATAAGTTAGTAATGTACTTCTAACTGCCAAATGGTAACAGCAACACCCAGTGAACCAACTACCTTCATTGCTTCAGTGAGTTTTGTGGAAGAAATAAGACTCCTGGCTTACAAACCCCCGGAGTGACAAAATATCTTACAATAACAGAACATTACTTAATTCCCACAGGGAGCCTCGCCATGAAAAACAAAGTTTCTTACAACTACAGGTATTCTTTACCTTTCCATCTCTTCCTTCCAGTTGCTCAAGACAGACAAAGGACATAGAATCAGAAATGGTCCTTCATCATTTAGTCGTCCAGCCAAGTAAATGAAAAGAGCAATAGTCTAGAACACAGAAAAAGATGCATTTTAATAAAATCACATTTCCATGTGTAAAACCACCACAAAGTTCCCACAGCCCTCTAAGGAAAACAGACCCTCAAAGAAGTACTGGTTTGCAAAGAAATAATGTACAAATTCCACATATTAGGAGAATTCACTTCTAATGTGAAATCATATACACATGCAATTGCCAAAAACATCCTGGACTCAATGGCTACAGTAGTTAAGCAGCGATGCTCGATTTCTATATAACTGGGATGTTAGTGCAGTGTTTCTCAAAGTGGGCAATACCGTGCCCAGAGGTTCTGGACCGACCTAGGGGGCTACAGACGCAGATACCCGCGCTTTATTATGGATGATGGGCTACAGCACAAAAGTGTCTCAATGACAGGGGGCAGTAGGCTAAATAAGTTTCATGACCTATGCTTTAATGCGAAGAAAAAATCAGGAGAGGCCATAAAGAACAGCAAAAACCATGTAAAGAATGTACGGGATCAGGAATACTCTGAAAACATTAAACAAGAAGTGCCAAGACACAACTGTCAAGATGACAAACCAAATGATGGCGCCCAAGCTCTCTTCTAAGTGAGGATGGTTTCTTCTCCCTTCTAGAAATGTTTCTCTCTCCACATCTGTTTAGAGGGTATTCTTGGTGGGTGTTTAGGTGTTGTTCTCAGCTCCGTGAACAAAGCTGATAACAATACCAAAGCTACTCTTAGCCCTCCTGAAACATATATTCTAGGGGGGGAAACAGACAGTAATTAATGCCTCAGAAACTTAACTAGGGTGCAAAATGAATGTGTTTGTAAAGCCAAATGGCCATATGCTTACACACACGTTTGACTGGAAATGGTTCTTCAAAAGGATGCTGTAATGTACTGGAAAAAAATAGCACTCATTTGTAAAACAAAAATTATGAGGGCCCACCCTTCAAGCACTGACCCATTTCTGAGAAAATCTTTCCTGAAGATATAAGCCTATGAAATCTCTATGACTAAATTATGTTCACCTGAATTTACTAACACAAAGATCGAAGGAAGATTTTGTCATTCCTTATCTACGGTGTATTTAAAGTAAATTATAAACCAATAGACAATAATTATTGTGGGGAATATGAAAGACAAAATTATAATGGCAATGTTATATTGATCAAATGTAAACTATATTCGTATTGTAGTTTCAACAACGTAAAAATACATTATTACTCATGCTTATGGTTAGAGGGCTATGACTGTGGTGGCAGTTATTATTTTTTAATGTGATTACATTAATTGTATGTTTGTTTATTTGATATATATATATACCATCCATGGCCTCCCAGATTGGGCCCAGGTGGCCTCAATAAGTACTCAGTGGGTTAAAACCATTCTGTATGGCTTTTGCCAAGAGTGCTTTTGAGAGAAAAGCTTTCTTTACTAAAACCTGGATATGTCTACAAAAGTAATTTGGATTCACCAGAGAATCCTATCAAACATCTAAAGAAGAAATGATACCAATTCTATAAAAACTCTTCTAGAAAATTGAATAGAAAGGACTACTTCTCAAAAAAAAAAAAGGAATACTTCTCACTCATTTTATAAGGCCAGCATTATCTCAAGAATAAGGCAGACAGAGATATTACAAGAGGGAAAACAAACAGACCCATATCCTTCAAGAACACAGATGCAAAACTTCTAAACAAAATTTTATCACAACAAATTTTAAAGCGGTGTATTTTTGGGAAACCCTGGGGAGCAGTTTTACTCTGTCCTTTGGGTCACGAGGAGTCAGAACAGACGTGAGAACAGTGGAGATGGTTATATTTTTAGAACCCTGAAAGTAGAGCAATAGAGCCACCTTGGGGAAAGGCAAAGGACAAACGTGATGTGCTGGCTCTGGGTGAAATCAGGAGGGCAAATCCAGTGTGGGAAGCAAAAGAGCTAGCAGGAAGGGCCCTGCACCTGGTCCAAGACCCTGTTAGTCTGGCTCTCAGACACCTAGGAAGTTTCATCGCTCTCAGTTCAAGAATACACCAGGACTAGATTTGTCTACCTGAGAAAACTGAGGGAGCTAAATAAGAGGTAAGACCTCCGGGTGATACTCAGAGGTGATACTGTACACTGAACAACCCTGAGACTGAAAAGGTATACGTGGTTAAAATAAAGTGATCTTCAACACATATCCAAACTAGCCTACACGCGGACCCGCTCGTTTGATGCTTACGCATATGCAGCACAGCTGACTTGGCAGACGCAGGCTAAAGGAACTAATGAGACTCTCATTCATGCCGTGTTCACTAGTGACACCTCTTTTGAATGTGAAAACGGACATGTCTATGCTTCCTGATCAAGTTGCTCCTCTGCATGCCTACCTTTATTTGGTATTCCACAGATATGTAAACCTATACAATTAACCCAGGGGTTATTTGTATCAGACCTTTCCATCCATCCAAGCTTATCCCTGACATTTCTCAACACAGCTATCAATATCAAGGCACCATCTGTTTACTGACATCTGATTCTCTGCACCTCTAGACACTAGCCCAGCCCCCTCCAAGGCCATCAGATGACTGAAACACTTTGAAAAGCATAAAGACCTGCCTCTGTACTTCCTAACATGGCAGAGAAATGGGAAATAGCCCCACCAACTACTGAGGAAGAAAGAGTAATATTGAAATGGACCCAGTTAACTAGAAAAGGAAGGCACTGCTAAGGGTCTTAGAGTTAAGTGATCCTTGGGCAGGTGTGCCAGCTCTATAGAGAAAAACCAAATGTCTAGGCCTACATGAGGTCCTTGGATGATAAAATGGTTAAGTGCCCAACTCTGAGCCAGCGGGTTCACAGTTTGAACCCACAGAGGCATCCAGGAAGGTAGGCCAGTTGATCTGCTCCCCAAAAATCACAGCCTTGACACCCCGGTAGAGGCGTTCCACTCTGCACACGAGGTTGCCATGAGTCAGAACTGACTTGACAGCAACTAACAACAAAAACAGGCCCATCCACTGCCGTTCTAACTCAGGCATGTGTTCCAAGGTCATGCGCTCTTAACAAAGGTCAGACATTTCTCACCTGGGAATAAAAATACACACTAGTAAGCTGGTAGAACAGTGGGCTCAAACCTAATAATTGCAAGGATGGCAAAGAGCCGGGCAGTGTGTCAGTCTATTCTTGTAAAGAGTTACCGTCTCAAAAACCCACAGGGGCAGTTCTACCCTATCCTATAGGGTTGCTATGAGTCAGCATCGGCTCGATGGCAATGAGGTTGGCTTGTTTTAACAGCTAAAAATGCTAGTGGTTTGTAAGGCCTTATTTCAGGGAAAGTAAGTCGTTACTACATAGCAACATACCTGGCAGGTCTTACCCAGGCCCATCTCATCTCCCAGGATGCAGCCATTCTGACAATGGAAGCGCTGGGCGAGCCAGTTGACACCCTCCAGTTGGTAAGAGCGTAGATGAATCCCTAGAAATAAAACACACAGCAACTTCAAAGGACAGACAGTTGAGTACAGACCTAGGCTATGTTCTAAGACCTCAAATGAAGACCATGGCTTAATCCTTAGGAACCCCTCACAAGCCCAATGCCCAGAACTACTGCCATATCCATTGCTGTGAAAATGACCATTACGTTATCATAGGCTATTGGCTACTCTCAGCTCCAATCCATGCCAGCAAACCAGATCCCCAGTGCCTAACACTTATGAAGTCAGGACTACTCACCAACACAGAAACAACCGAAAACCCAAATCCCTCTTAGAGTGCCTCTGCTTCTCGCTTACTTCCCCCATTCATCTTTCTCACGGCTCCAACAATCTGGCCGAAGCCAAGTCACGTAAACAACAGGACCTCAGGGGAGTCTGGGAAACGCAGCATTCGATTTTCTAGCCAAGTCTACAGGACACATTAAGGGAAGCTTGTGGTGAGGGTAAAGTTGGGGAAATAAACTTCATTTGCAGATAAAGGTGTTTGAACTTGCTCACCCAACTCTCAGGTGGATAAAAAAATAATGAAAAAGCAAGCAAGACAGCAAGAAGCACTTGATTAACTGTATTTTGAATTCTAGAAGTTCACTGGGACATGGTGACACCATTCTGAAGGAAGTGTCCAGTGAATAATGTCTTCTATATGTGTGTGTGTATGTGCTAAGTTCCTTCCTCAGAAATTCCTAATGATACTTATATACATATATAATTACAAAATTATAATTGTACTTGAAGAAAAATATGAAGCCAATAATTATCAAACCAGAGTAAGGTTTCTACTAAGTATACTCAACAAAGGTAAAAATGCAGAAAAAAGGTCAAAAGATTTGAGTACACAGAATTTTTAAACTTCAATACTGTAGAAAACATACCTGTAGCACATGCACACAAGCACACAACTAAATTAAAAGGAAAATAACTAAAAAAGATATCCCCAATATGACAAATATTAATACCTCTAAAGCAAGACTATAGAAAGCGAAGACAAACACTCCATTTAAAAAATGGGCAACATAAAAAGCCAAGGAACAAAAGAAAGACAAATATCCAGTGTCCATCAATGTTGCTGTGAGGTGCCATCCAGTGGGGTCTGATGGATGGCCACCACATGAACAATACAATGAAACTCTCTCCGGTCCTCTGGCAGCCTCACAAGTGTTGCTGTGCTTGATTCCATTGTTGCCACCACCCTGTCAACCCATCTCTCTTGAGGATGTTTTTTGTCACCGACGCTTTAACAAGCATGCTGTCCTTTCCCATCCAGATAACATATCCAATGGACGTGTGACCAAGCCTCGCCATCTAAGGAGCAATCTGGTTGTACTTCCATGATACATTTGCTCACTCTTCTGGCAATCCATGATCGATTCATATTTTTCACCAACATTTTAATTAAGAGGCAGCAATTCTGGGGTCTTCCTTATTCAGTGTCCAACTTTCACATCCATACAAGGTTACTGAAAATACCATGGCTTGAGTCAAGTGCACCTTTGTCCTCAAAGTAACTTCTTTGCTCTTTAACCTTTTCAAGTGGCCTTGTATATAAACATACCTTGACCTAAATCATAATAAAAGGTTTTTAAAAAAGAAAACTAACCCCCCCCAAAAAAAACAAACAAAAAACTTAGGTCTTGTGCAGCAGATAGATATTCCTAACACTTGGTTGCTGCTTCCATGAACACTGACTGTGGACCCAAGTAAAATGAAATCGGCAATGGCAATCTTTCCCCGTTTCTCATGATGGTGTCTAGTGGTCAGTTGTGAGGATGTGTTTTATGCTGAGGTATAATACATGTTGAAGCTGCAGTCTGCAGTCGGTCGGCTTCAGTTAACTGCTCAAGTCTCCTTCCCTTTCATGGAGCAAGGTGGCGTCATCTGGTTACCATGGGTTGTTAACGGGCCTTCCTCCAGTCCTGAAGCTGTGCTCCTCTACATATCCAGTACAGCTTCTCAGATCACTGTCCAGCATACCCACTAGTAACTAAATAAACATCAAATAGCACTTCCTAAGTCCTCAAACTAGAAACTATCAGTGTGAGAGTGCAGTGAAAGTCCGCGTGTCCCTTGCTCTAGAAAATGTTACCTTGGAAGAATGAAAAATGGTTAACTATGCAACGATTTGCTTAGAAGTTTATTTAGCATTATTTACATGTATAACAGGAAAAAAAGTCAAAATCAATACTCATGGAAGCAGCAGTCAAGAAATCAATTGGCCGAGTAAATATGCTGGGGGGGAAAAAACAAACTGTTTAAAAATACCAAAAGGTTATTTTGAGGACTAGCGTGCCCCTAAGTCAAGTCCGGGTCTTTGGGGTCACCTCCTCCGCACGTGCACGCTGGGCAATGGAAAAGGTAGCCGGAGCCTCCT